GCAACGTTCTATTTGCCTTTTATGGCACACATTACCCATTCAGATTTCGTCGAAAGGCCACATCTGCTCAGTTTCTTATCCGAGACATAAAAAAAGCAATCTCTAAAGAAGTAATGGATTTTTTATTTATTAATCCAATATATTTGCTTGTCGCCTTGTGCCAGACTCGACAAAGCTTAACAAAACAAGTGACAAGCAAAGTATAGGGCAAGCTCTTAAGTGCATTGTGCGTTAAAGCCAACGTTAGGCTCTGGGCAGGACTAAAACATAGCAATTTAAGAAAGCCCAGATTCAGATCTGATTGCTGAAGTTAAGAACGTCGAAGCTGATTAACATTAGCATAGATGACTGGATATTGTAAGCAAGGCATGATCTTGTATCAAATCAAGTGTTAATCGATAAGAAATCAATAAATCACAAGTATGGGGTTTCTAATGAGGATTGAACTATCATTATAAGTGCGAGTCTTTTTTCGTTAGTTACTAAGTTAATTAGCACGTGCGTTACGTCCTGCCATTACTCAGACACATAATGGACTATTCCGTTGTGATTGCAAGGAAAGACGGAAGAAAAATAGATACGACAGGGTTTTATTGAGAAAAAGAAAGCATAATAACATACAAATAAAGAAATAAAGAAAGGAGAAATAGAGGAGTCGATAACGCTATCCTGAATTTAACGTCTGCTTCAGTGAAATGAAAAATCTTGTTTGTTTTTAATGTTTTCATTTGTACCCTCTTACTTCTTTAAATACTGACCTGCATCGATTGTTAAAGACGAAAGGAAAAAGAAATAGCGAGAAAAAGAAAGCGTATGTAATAAAAAGAAAGAAGGAAATTAACGAAACAAGCAAGCAAGATAGAAAGAAAGAAAGCAAGAAAGAAATAAGGAAAAAAGAAAGAAAGAAAGCAATGAAAAGAGAAAGAAAGAAAGCAATATAGAAAGACAGCAAGAAAGCAATAAAGAAAGAAAAGAAAGAAAAAGAAAGAAAGAAAGAAAGAAAGAAAGAGAAAGAAAGAAAGAACGCAATAAAGAACGAGAGGAAAAAAGAAAGGAAGAAAAGAGAAGATAGAGGAGGTGATAACGCTTCCTTGTGTTTCATTTCTGCTTCCGGAAAATGGTAAAATTTGTCAAATTTTAATGTTTTCATTTATACCCTCTTACTTCTTTAAATACTGACCTGCATTGATTCTTATGATTGTTAAAGACGAAAGAAAAAAGTTATATCCGTGAAGCTGTTTGGTTTTAGCAAAAAAAAAAAAAAAAAAAAAAGGAAAGAAAGAAAGAAGGAAAGGGAAGTCGGTGGAGATGATAACGCTCTCGTATATTTAAAGTCTGCTTTAGTGAAAGGGGAACACTTCTTAATTTCAATTCTTTTCGTTTGTATCATCTCATTTCTTTACATAATGACCTGCATTTATATTCAGGATTGTTATTGCAACAGTTTGTTAAACTCAAATATTTGACGACGCAGCAGATGAATTTCCTTGGGTATCTTTTGATATTGGTTCCTGTCGGTTTGAAATTAATATTTTTTATTCCTATGAAAATACAAAACTTGTCATGAGGAAGGGCTGATCTTCACCCTTCTTAACTTAAACCTAACTTGTCTCATTCACTAACCCATCCGTTCATTTTCCATTCACCACATCTCATTTACTTCTACAAGTTACACCTAAGTCACCAAAACGCTTCATTCACTTGATGAAATTCCTTAAGTAATATTTATATATACAATTTATTATTTATGTTTATGTTAAAATTATGATTTGCTTAATATACAGTGCTGTTCGATAAAAGTGACTCACCTGATTTTTTTTTACTAAAAATATATTTTGTCTATTGTTTTTGGTGTTAAAATAATTTTTAATCTTACTAATATAAAGATCCCTTCCCGACCATCTAGAAAAAAAAGTTTATTCACCCTAAGGTATTCTATCGATAATTATAAATTTGGATATAAATGAGATTCAGGAAAAAACTCTATGCAAAAAAAGTGATTCGCTTATTTCCTGCAACTTGTAATCAATAGAAACATAGTGATTTTCTAAGTCCAGAAGTGGCACAAGGCCGAAAGTATGGGGCACCCAGTGAGGATCGAACTCACTACTCAGTTGTAATTGATCTAGTAAGACAAACTTTAACCATTACGCCAAGTCGAGATGCGATTTTCCAAGCGTAGCTCAGATGTGGCACAAGGCCGAAAGTATGGGGTACCCAGTGAGAATCGAACTCACTACTCAGTCGCAATAGTTCTGAGCGAGACAAGCTTGTTAACCATTACACCACCTAGAGGTATTCTAATCGATAGAAACATAACCGAACAGCTTTAAATAAAGAATAATAGAGGTATAATTTATTTATAATAGGTAATATAGTTCGAAATATTTAATAATCTATGGGTCCTCCTTTATTTTGAATAACCTTTTCAACCCTTTTTGGCATTGAATTGATTAGGTTCTGGCAAATCTCCAAGCATAAGGTGAGGCACTTTTATCGAACAGCACTCTAAGTCTGTTAATTTAGATGGGGGGGGGGCATCGGAAACTGACTAGTTCTGATGGGGGTCGACTTGGTGAGGGAGGGTATGATGTTTGAAAGACCCGAAACTGCCCAATGATCCAATTCAAAACATCACTGACGACGCCCTCTAGCGCTAAAGAGCGTATATTCAAAGTTTATATACAATTAATATGTACAATTTCCAGTGGGTGGGAACCTCCCCCCCCAAAAAAAAAAACAAATAAACTTCAAAGATTTTTTTTTGCAATGAAAGAATATCTATAATATAAGAATATAATATATATCTATATATAAGAATATAATATATATCTATAATATAAGAATATCTATGTTAGTATTTGACACCCACAAAAATCTAAGACAGCGACAGAAAATCTCACTTAACTGAGCGAAACAATGTAAGACCCGAAAAAAATGGATTCTGGAAATATTTCACACACGACAGAGAACTGAGAAATCTGACATTTAATAGAGGGGGGGGGGAGATCGGTAAGAATCAAAAGTCCAGGGGACAAAATAAATAGCACTCTTCTCTTTTTCATTCATCAAATTCTTTTTCTTTCTTGTCTTGAAGTCAGAACGCTTCACTCACTTGTCTGTATCCCTTTTTGTGTGTAAACGTCATTCGTTTTGCCTTTTTACTATTGCTTTACCTAATTTTGTCTTGCATATACTACTTGCTTAGTATTATTTTTGCCTTGTCTTAATGTTTACTGCAAACTTTGTCAATTCTGTTTGGTAGGCATTTCTGTCAAATGGCTAATCATCGTATATACTCGCGTATCATACGACTTTTGAAGACCGAATTTTGAAGTTAATTTTAAGAGGGTCGCATCATACACGTGATATAAAATTAGTGTATGTACTGCTGGTCCTGGCTACACCGATGACCAAACTATATATGCATTTATTGGAGTCAAAATTTGGAATGATGACATATTGCTACATTTCTATAACAATTGCAGTATAAGGCCAAAGGGGGAGTAGGGTAGGGCTGATCAACATTTTCTATCCTAGACCTAGCTAATCAGATTCATTGCAATTTGCTCATTCACAACAAGAACTCATCCATCACCATTCAATCCTGCATATACCACAATAGCACATATTTACAGAGAACACAAAAAAAAAACGCCATGACATAAAAATTTCTTTATCTACAAAATGTCAAAATGTCTCATTTTTTCCCCTTTATTTCCGTTTTTCTTACAGAAATATATAAAAATTCTGATGATCCGAAAATTGGGCAAGGAAGGGGTGAACACAGAAAGACAAAGCTAAAACCTAACAAAACATCCAGACTAAAAATAACAAAGAATCGTTTTGGAATGACGACAAAAACATCTCCTCCCCTAATTTATAGACAAAACATACGGATATATGCTGGGATCAGTCTATATTTCTGAGATGAAATTTATTTTCAAGATGATGTCCTCATCTTTGTCGCCATATTTTATTACAACGTTTCGGCCTTTCAGTATCATATTTCTGAGATTTACATTATTTACATTATTCGACTATTGTCCTCATCTTTGTCGCAATATTTATTACGCCATATTTATTAGATGAAGTATTATGTTACAACATTATTCGGATCCTCATCTTTGTCATTTATTACAACGTTTCGTTTCAGTATCTGTCTATATTTCGATATTTGTACTGGATGATCTTTTAATGCCATATATTACAACGTTTCAGCCTTTTCAGTATCATTTTGAGATTTGTAAACATTATTTACGGACTATTGTCCTCATCTTTGACGCCATATTTATTAACAACGTTTCGGTCGATCAGATGATCTGTCTATACTTTTGAGATCATCTTTGGTATTATTACAACGTTTCGGCCTTTCAGTATCTGTCTATATTTTCTGAGATGAGGTATTATGCACATTATTTACATTATTCGGACTATTGTCCTCATCTTTGTCGCCATATTTATCACAACGTTTTTTCAGTATATATCGCCGTTGTACGCTCGGACTTCTCATCTTTGACGTCATATTTATTACAACGTTTTGTGGTTGGAATGTCGAACTGAACCCTTGTCCTCATTTTGTCGCTCAACGTGGGTTGTACGCCCGGCCTTCTTCAGTTTTAGTTCCACGGGGTAGACCTAGTTCCCCATTATTTTAATGGATGTCAGTTATCAGTTATCTCCTGTTAATTTTCCTCTCCAAGTTCTCCACCGCCTTAGCCGGGCATTGAACTCACACTCAAAGACACATGGTACAGTGGCTAAAGGCGTTATTTAGACCCAGTGACAGAGCCCAAAGAGCAGTGATAGAGGAGAAGAAAACATAGCTGTGATAGAAGAAGAAGAAGAAGAAGAAGAAGAAGAAGAAGAAGAAGAACTGTATTAACCCAAAATGCAGATTCTGTGATAAATATCCAGAAACAATTGATCATCTTGAATCAGTGTTAGCACCCACTGAATATAAACCTCGACACGACAGAGTGGGCCAATATCTGCATTGGAAAATGTGCAAATTTTAGGGGAAAGAAACTGCAAGAAATTAGTATATACATTACCCAGACCCGGCAGTCCCTGTAGATCATTGAAAATCTTCGAAAAATTATCAAAATACAAGGATCTTGATGTTGAAATGTCAAAAATGTGGTACATGAGGACATCAACAATTCCAGTTGTAGTTGGAGCCCTCGGATTGATTTGAAAATATTTCGATAGACTCATTGAAAGGATTCCTGGCAGCCCTAAAGAAGAATACAAAGAAACTGTACTCACAATTACAGCTAACACATTACGAAAAGCTTTATCTATGTAAAATGTGTGTGGTTTAGTTTTTCTTTTTGTTTTTTTAAATGATTACCGGAAAATGTCATGAAGTCACTTCTGACCTTAGATTTCTGGTTGGGACCCGGAAGGAAATGTGTATACAACAGGGATTAAAGGAAATAATAATAATAATAATAATAATAATAATAATAATAACGAGGATAAGAAGAAGAAGAGGAAAATAGATGAGAGACTAAACACAAAAAAGAAAAGAAAATAATAATAATAATAATAATAATAATAATAATAATAATAATAATAATAATAAAAATACAAGGACCTTGAAATAGAAATCTCGAAAATGTGGAATATGGGAAAATCAACAATCCCTGTTGTAGTTGGAGCCCTAGGACTGGTTGGAAAAGATTGCAGAAGATTAATTGAAGGGATTCCTGGAAGTCCATGCCTCAAGGAGATACAAACACTTTACGAAGGGCTTTATCTATGTAATTTTTATTTATTTATTTAGTTTTATTTTTTTTTTGTCAGTGGAAAGTGTCATGATGCCAGTTCTAACCTTAGGTCCCTGGGCGGGACCCGGAAAGAAACGTGTAAACGCCAAAAATCAAAGAAAATAATAATAATAATAATAATAATAATAATAATAATAATAATAATAATGAGAAGAAGAAAAAGAGGAGGAAAATAGAAGAGAGACTAAACACAAAAAAGAAAAGAAAATAATAATAGTAATAATAATAATTCGTGTGATTTTTTTAATAAATTGCTCAGTGGAAAATGTCCTGTAGTTATTTCTGACCTTAGGTCTCTGGTTGGGATACGGAAAGAAATGTGTATAGACCAGTAATCAAAGGAAATGACGATAATAATAATAATAATAATAATAATAAGAAGAAGAAGAAGAAGAAGAAGAAGAAATAAACAAAGAAGGAAATATAAGAGAATGGAGGCGATAACGCTCATGCGTTTAACGTCTGTATCAGTGAAATGGAGGTAGTTTCACTCCTCCTAACACTACATATGGTTCTAAGTCGGACTAAGATTGACTTATTTGCTGGCATCACAATAAAAGAAAGATCAGATGTAAAGACATAGAACGTATTTTGATAAAAGAAAACTGCATATTTACTTGACGTGAATGCGAACTCTTAAGAAGTCCCTGAGAAAAAAGAATTTATCATCTCTCCACAAAATATCGTTCCCCCTTTCCCGCACACCACCGATGCGCGCACAGGCGGAATCGTCCTCAGGAAGAAAGGGAAGCGACTGAAGACTTCGACTTATGGAACCTATACATAGACATTAATTACCTCCCTCAGCGGAAAAAAGGATTAAGGAAACGCAACGGAAGTGACGTGGCACTGTCAGACAAAGAAGCAACGGAAGCAGTTTAATTAATCCCTGGAGGCATTTTTATTACCGCGATGTCGCTGACAAGGTTGTTTCGTCTTGAAATAGTCACGTTTGTTGTCTTTTATGGTAATCATGGATCTTAGGCTTGCATATATACATACATACATACATATATATATATATATATATATATATATATATATATATATATATATATATAAAATAAAATTGTGTGTATTTAGAGCAGCATTTTTTCATTCATGCATGTTTCATTAAATAATATAAACAAGTTTTTCTATATTTATTTTAAGTAAATTCCTTTCATATTGTCGAATAAGCTTTTTAGCATTATCACTGAAACACTAAAGAAAATCACTATGTTGATACATGTTTTTATTGTTAATTCTCTCTAAGCTTTCGGCTTAAAGATTGTTGCAATATCCGCATAACCAAACTAAAACAAAATTTACCATCTTTGTTATATAATTTATTATTTAAATTATTGTAATGTACTTGTAATCTCTGATGATGGCTTATGTAAATCGAAAGCTTAGGCAGGATTAACAATAAAAACATGTATCAACATGGTGATTTTCTTTCGTGTTTCAGTGATAATGCTAAAAAGCTTATTCGACAAAATGAAAGGAATTTACTTAAAATCATAGACAAAAGTTGTCTATATTATTTAATGAAACATGCATTATATATATATATATATATATATATATATATATATATATATATATATCATGTGTGTCCCCGAAAATTAATACAGATAAAAGACAAAAATTTAATAAAAGTTTATCGATGTGCCTTGTCAGAGGTTTTGAAGGAACTTGATTAAAAGAGAGATTGCTGCCCAAATACTCAATCACACACACACGCACACACACACACACACATATATATATATATATATATATATATATATATATATGTCTATATTTCTGAGATGAGGTATTATGTACACTATTTACACTGCTCTATCATCCTCATCTTTGTTGCCATATTTATTACAACGTTTCGGCCGCTGTACGCTGCGGCCTTCTTCAGGTGGTTGCAATGACGAACTGAACCCTTTATTTCGCTCGCTGGGGTAGACTGTTCTAGTTCCACGTGCCATGTCTAATGGATGTCAGTTATCAATTATCTCCTGTTAATTCCCCTCTCCAAGTTCTGTACCGCCTTAACTAGGTATTGAACTCACACTCTTTGGGTCCTGTCACTGGATCTAACTGGTCAACACCCAGAGGCAACAACCTGTTTCATGCTATATGCAATCGGCAGACCATCTCCTCTCTCTCTCTCTCTCTCTATATATATATATATATATATATATATATATATATATATATATATATTAGGAAATAGATTAAATCCAACATATTATTAATTTATTTGTTTAACCGTTATTTTATCTTGGTATTCATATTTGAGTAGATGCCCTGTTTTTATTTATTTATTTAAAAGTATACGGGAGAGCACGTATTTTCTAACACGTTTTCTGGAATATTCAGGCTGGTAGATGTAAATAAATAAATATAATATTTAATAAATAAATAAAAACAACGCATCTACTCGAATACAAATATGTTTACTTTTCCAGTCCAAGGCGTATGTGAAGCAAGATGGCCAAACAACGGTGATTTTGTCAGCGACAAAGTATAATTTACTCAGGCGGTGAAAAGAACGACAAAGGAGTAGGACTAATACTAGATAATTCCACCAACTTTCCGAAAGAATTCTGGCTGTGAAGCTGAAAGGGAAGCCTTTCAATGTGGCTATTATAGTAGTCTACGCACCGACAGCACAAAGCAAGGAAGAAGACATCGAATCTTTCTCCTCCATGCTGGACAATGACAGGGGTCTATGGAAATCACAGGAAGTCGTCATTATCATGGGATACCTAAACGCCAAAGTAGGGCAGGGAAAGGGCCGGAAATATAGCAGGAACCCGCAACGAATTGGCAATTAATAGGCAACACATGGTTCCAAGAACATCCGAGACAACTATGGACATGGAGGCGTCCAGGAGGAAAAACTAAAAACTAAATTGATTATAGGGGGAGAATGAGATCTCCATCAGGACAGATGAAGGGCTTTCGACCAAGGATTATACTCGGATTACGAAAGTGAAATACATCTGTGGAAAGGAATGCAAGAACCCGCGTGGCCTTAAAATCCACCAGACCAGAATGAAATGTTTGGAGAGAGAGAGAGAGAGAGAGAGAGAGAGAGAGAGAGAGAGAGACAACGCTCTGATATGTAAACTAAGAGTGAAACTGCCGAAATTGAAGAAGCCCAATGCAGCACCCAAACTACAATACAACAAACTCCTGAGTGACCGTAACCTAAATATATATATATATGGACAATTTGAAGAGAAGATACGAGGCACACATTGAAAACTCAAAATGGGACGCACTAAGAAACGCTTTAGTGACATCAGCAGAGAATATCAATCCAAAGGAGACAGGACGAAGAAGGAAAAACAATTGGATGACGGAAGAGATCCTCGATCATGATGGAAAGAAGACAGAAAACCCTACCAACATACGGGGTGGGGGGGATACAGAAATTTACACCATGTAATAAGGGCCAAATGCAGACAAGCTAAAGAAGAATGGCTAAAGGAGAAATGTGCAAAAATAGAAAGATTGAGTACTACCAACAGAAGAGACATGCACAAACGAATACGACAACAGGACAGACGACATGCTCATCAACAGACTGTCTAAAATCAAAGGATGGAACATTTATATTAGAGAAGGAAAAACGATTGGATGACTGATGAGATCCTCGACATGATGGAAAGGCGACAAGAAACCCTGTCAAGATACGGAACAGAGTACAGAAAATTACACAATGAAATAATGACCAAATGCAGGCAAGCTAAAGAAGAATGCCTAAAGGAAAAATGTGGAGAAATAGAAAGATTGATTATTACTAACAACAGAAACATGCACCAACAAATAACACAGCTAACAGGACAGAAGACATGATCGTTAACAGGCTGCCTAAAATCAAAGGATGGAACACTCACATTAGAGAAAGAAAAAATCTTCAAAGCTGGAACGTGTACATTGAAGAACTCTTCCACGACGAAAGGGAACAACCAGCAATACACAGAACTATCGACGGACCTGGAATTTTGATAACCGAAGTAAAATCTGCATTTGCCAAATTAGACAGAAACAAAGCAGCTGGGCCAGACGGAATTGTAGCGGAAATGCTGATAGCCTTAAATGACTTTGGCATACACAAGATCACCGAAATAGCAAATTAAATCTACAACAGCGGGGATATACCGGAAGACCTCAGCGGATCTATCTTCATAGCTATGCAAACGAATGCGAACTCCACTGAACAACAAGCCTAATGAACCACGTGACAACACTCACCATTCGTATTCTGATGAACAGAGCCCGGAACAGAATCGGGACAGAGCTAGGACAAGAACAGTACGGGTTCGTTAAAGACACCGGAACAAGGAACGCGATATTCATGCTCAGAATGTTATCAGAGAGAGCAATACAGATGCAGAAGGACGTGTACCTATGTTTCTTAGACTACGCAAAGGCTTTCGACAAAGTAGGCCACAAGGATCTTCTGGAACTACTCAGCAACCTTGATACATTCGGGAGGGATATCAGAATAATCGAGAACCTATACTAGAAGCAAACAGCATGCATGCGCAAGGGAATGAGTTCAGTGAATATACGAAAATAGAAAGGGTCGTAAGGCAAGGATGCGTTTTCTCACCTCAACCTATACAGTGAGGCACTTCTGGGAGAATTAGAAACGCTACAGGAATTTAGAACTGGCGGCCACAACCTTAACAACAAGAGATACGCAGATTACACAGTATTGATAGCAGTCAAGGAAAAGAAATTACAAAATCTCCTACAGAAGATAGAAACAGTGAGTGTGAAGAAAGGACTAAGCATAAACTACAAGAAGACAGAGTTCATGGTCATCAGTAAAAGGATGAGCCCGAAATGAGATTTGCAGGTCGGGTACACTAGATTTAAGCAGACACGGAAGTTTAATATCTGGGAATCGTTTTGACAGAAGACGGTAAGTGCGACACTGAGATCCGCCGACGTATTGGGATGGCCAAGGACGCATTCCAAAAGCTGAGCAGAGGATTGAGAGACAGGAGGATTTCTTTGGTAACAAGGAAAAGAATACTGAACTGTTACGTGACATCTGCCCTTCTTTATGGCAGTGAATGTTGGACGATTTCCTCAAAGATGAAGAAGAGATTCGAGGCAACATAGATGTGATTCTACAGAAGGATGCTAAGGATATCATGGACCAAGCGTGTGAGCAACGATGAGGTCTTAGAGAGGATGCAAACAAGGAAGAGGCTTACACTTAACATCAGGAAGAGGCAGCTGAAGTTTCTGGGAGACGTAATGAGGAAGGAGGGCCTGGGGAATCTGATACTCACGGGTCGATAAGAGAGACAAGGGAAAACAACGCAAAGAAAGACAAGTTATTCAATATTTTTGTGTGTTTGTGTGTTTGCGGTATGTGTGTATTTTAAACACACTTCAATATCCGGTACCTATACGATATATTTGCGTGTGTCTTTGTGGTAAGTGTGTGTGTTTTAAACACACTTATATCCGGTACCCTATGGAGAAAGTCACCTTATGCAAAGTATTTGTGTGTGTTTGTGGTATATGTGTGTTTTTTAAACACACTTCAATATCCTGTCCCATATGGAGAAAGACACCTTATTTTATGTTTTTGTGTGCCTGTTTCTGGTATATGCCTGTGTTTTAAACACACTTCACTTTCCGGTACCCTATGGAGAAAGACACTTTATTCAATGTTTGTGTGTTTCTGGTATATGTGTGTGTTTTAAACTCACTTCAATATCCGCTTCTGTATGGAGAAAGACACCTTATACAATGTTTTTTTTGTGCGTGAGTTTGTAGTATCAAGTCTCTTATATAAGAAGACACCTTATTCAATGTTAGCTGCTTGTCTTTTATTACAACAGCCACCAGGATTTGGAATCTTTGTTTACACTCTGTGCTGTATAAAATATTGTGTTTTCAACAAAAAATTGTCTTATATCTCTTTATCATATGTCCATCTATATGTGCCCGAACTGCGCTAAATTTTGACAAGTTACAAGTTAACCTACGAGAGAGTGTGGTGCATGTGTGGACAATGTAAGAATTTAATGTTGTTTGTTGATTGTTAATTTTGGAAATACAATCATAAGAATAAGCAACATTATATTTCATACTTTTATAGATTTTTGTCGTGATGAATTATTTCTAAGAATTGGGTTGAACATTTTAAATTTCAGAAATATTTATATATATATATATATATATAATATAATTACGATGCATCTGGTTACAATGAAACATTTTAATGGAGTCTTTAAATGGGTTAGAGGGCGTGGAAGATTTAGGAACAGAAAAGCGAAAAGTCTAATCAGCAGGACACTAGATTGCGATTGACATTGCATTTAAATATTTGCAGATTTAAGTGGGCTCGAAAGCATGGAGCCAAAAGAGAGTTCCACAAGCGGGAAGTGCGAAAGAAGAAATATTTTTTTTAATAGATAGAAGTATTTATAGAAAAAGCACAGGGAGGCAACTTTATGGCAGTGGGAATGTGACTGGAGCTGAGCCACCACATCAGGACTAATAATATTGCTGGAAAGCATAAAGCCAGAAGGGAGTTCCACAAGTGGGAAGTTCGAGACAAGAAACAGCATAGAATTTACGGCTACATGTAGCCAACTCAAGTGTAAATTGATGAGACCTAGATGCCAGTCTAGTACTGCACTTAAATTCATGAAGTCTAGGTACCATAGTGAAGGGCTCATTTGAACATTTACCATGAAAGTATTTATAGAAAAGACATAGAGAGGCAACCTTATGGCAGGGGGAAAGTGACTGGAGCTGAGCCACCAGATCAGGACGAATAATATTGCAGATTCTTCTTTAGATTTTATGAAGGAGCTCAGGGTGAATAGCAGCGGCACTTTTTACTTATAGTAAAATGACCAACAATACATTTTATAGTAAAATGACCAAAATATATTTAACTATAGTTAGAGGCATAAAGTTGCGTTCAAAATATGTTTAGTTGAAGCCATAAAATTGCGCTGAAAATATTTAAATTTCGACATTAAATAACCCATAGAGTTGTTGATATGCCACTAAACAAAATCAAACAACCAACATGAAAGAACTCTTTTATGGCATTAGTCTTTATAATATCTTACAATTTCTTAAAGAAATCAACCTGTATTCCAAAATATAACTTCAACAAAACTACAACAGAAAACATACTTATCATCGCCTCTATTAATCATGTCCACACAAACATGTATATGCAGAAAAACTGAGTATCATCTACCATGTATTCAACTGTGAAAGCAAAATGATGTATATTTTTATTACTTCAAATTTCACAATAAAATTAAATTTCAGCATTAGATGACCCATAAGGAGTCTATATGCTGTTAAACAAACAAATCAATCAATCAATCAATCTGGGTATAACTGTCAAGAAAACGTTTTTAAGGCAAGCATTCTTTGTAATTAGAGTGCTTAACATCAAGATATATATATATATATAAATTTCATTGTGATTTTTAATTTTTTTAAAATACCGAGAAATTTTGTCTCACCAACTTTTTATTAAATTTTTCCAACTTCATAGTTTTTCGTTGTCTACATATTTCTTACAACCCATTCCAATATCTATATACTCCTTACAACCCATTGTAATCTCTATATGCTCCTTACAACCCATTGCAATCTCGATATGCTCCTTTCAACACATTGCAATGTCCATATGCTCCTTACAACCCACTGCAATTTCTATATGCTCCTTTCAACACATTGCAGTCTCTTTATGTTCCTTACAACCCATTGCAATCTCTATATATCTAAGATTACAAAATTGTTATCAGTTTCCATACTGTTATATATCTGTTTGTATAATAAAGTTTCTCATTAGCGATTGTGTTATTTTTAATATTTCAAAGCTGAAATTCCAATGATTTTTTTGTCATGAGTGGGTAATTCCTAATAAGAAATTAATTGAAATGACCTATTTTTTCCCGTAATCGCCAGTATCAGAACAGATTTTTATGTTCTATGCTCTTCTCTTTTTATCTCTATATATATATATATATAAAATATATATATATATCCGACATCGATATCGAAAAAAATTATGGTAAAGACATCCATTCTTTTTTATAGGTGAACCGTCATAAAAATATGCGTCCTCCGACAGGAATCGAAACTGTATCTTTTACGCCACCGTCATATAACCTGATGTTCTTTTTCCACAAGGTTCTGTTTTTTATTTAATTTTATTTCTATAATACTTTTATTTCTAATATAAATATTAGTAATTATTATAATATTATAATATATAATATTATTAATTATTATAATTAGTTTTATTAAATAATTAATAAAACTCTAATTGAGCATATTTTTCCAGGTTTCATATAAGACAATTAGCTTTGCCATTTTTCGTAATACCCTTTGTGTTATTCAGATAAAAAGAGAACACCCCCCATTCTCTTCTCAACTGAGCAATATTTAAGGCCTTTAGTAATGGTTCCAACATTCATACACTGGCTACCATCTTTAAAGTCTATTCAAGAACCATCCAGAGAACGGTGAATAAGTTTTAGAAAAGGGGCAACACTAGTGAGAAAAACTGGATGAGGAGGTCACAACAGCAAGAGCAATCATCATTTCAACTTAGAGCTAAAGAAACCATTTAAAAAAGATACAACTAAATCCATAAGACGTTTAAGAGAGGAGTTTCAGCTATGACAGTTCAAAGAGTAGCAAAAAAAAAAACTTGAAAATGAAATCGTTCGTGAAACCTAAGAGATATATTGTTACACCAGGACAGAAAGTTAAAAGGTTAGAGAAAGCGAAGATCATCTCGAATAAGTTATAAAACGATCCAGGAATATATATATATTGACACATTTTTATGTTTATACCTTCTTTTTATAGATACAAATATTTAAGTAAATGCTCTGTTTATAATAAACAGTATTAATAACATTTACCGACCTGAATGTCCGAGAAATTTTCATAGAAAATATTCCTCCACCGACAGGAATAGAACCTGTATCCTATACGGAACTGTCATATAGCCTGACATGCCATAACCGATTGGGCCACAGAGAAGTGTTCCGTTAGCAAGGTCGATTTTACTGTTTTTAAACTACAATCTTCCATGAATCTCTCACGTACATTCATATCTGCTCAAAGTGTATCCAAATGTAAACAAATGTCGTCACACATTATGAAATGGACAAAGTCCGACAATGATTTTAAGACATTTTTATGTTTATACATTCTTTTTATAGATACAAATATTTAAGTAAATGCTCTGTTTTATAATAAAAAGTATTTACATTTACCGGCCTGAATGTCCGAGAAATTTTCATAGAAAATATTTCTTCTCCAACAATTCAATCTTCCATGAGAAGCAGTAAAAATGAAACTTGACAATCGAACGATTCTCCGTAGCTCGATTGGTTAAGGCACGTCAAGTTAAATGACGGTTCCGTATAGGATACAGGTTTCCTGTCGGAGAACGAATTCAAGCCGGTAAATGCTATTAATATTGTTTATTAAAAAACAGAGCATTTTTTAAATATTCGTATCTATAAAAAGAATGTATAAACATAAAGATATCTTAAAATAATTGTCGAACTTTGTCCATTTCATAATATATATATATATATATATATATATATATATATATTATATTGGAACACAATTGCTTCATGAGCTTCTGATCCTTAGCTACGATTAATTAATGATGAAAATGACATTTGTGTTTATGATCGATTTCATCCCGATTCCTCTGTTAAGTAATTATACATTCTTATTGCTTAAAGTAGTGTCCAATGGTGTTCTAAAAACTTCGGAGAATTCCAGTAAGATATCTTTAATCATTTCTAAGGTTCAACGTTGAATTTAACAAATAGACAATTTTGCTGTTACACCCGATATATATATATATATATATATATATATATGTGTGTGTGTGTATGTGTGTGTGTGTGTGTTTGAGCGCGCGCACGCGTGTACGTACCATAGTCCTTATCTATCGTTAATGCTTGCATCAATTCCTGACCCATTTTCTTCCTTATCATTGTATTTGTTAACTAAATTATTTATTTGTAAAATTGAAATAGCTATGAAAGGAAGTGGTGTGTGAAAGGTTAAATTCTCTACCTCCATCTCTCTCTCTCTTTCTCTGTCTCTATGTTTGTTTCTGTCTCTTTCTCTCTTTATATATATATATATATATATATATATATATATATATATAATGCATACAAATAAACAACTGTTGAATATTTGTTTAGGCGTGCCTGTCTTTTATAAACGTATATAAATACGCTCAGACATGCGCATTAAATTATATCAAGATAAGCAAAATGGCCATAAAGAGATGGTATTATTTACATGCGAATTGGCACTTCTGCCGCGGATAGATGTGGCATCTGTGGGTCCTGCCTTTTATCAAGGTGTCATTCCCTGGCACTTCGCTGTAGTATCTGAGCCACCCACCCTAGGAAAAATGTTCACGCCTCACCACCCCCATTTATATATATATATATATATATATACAGGGTGTAGAGAGAAGAGAGAGGGAGAGGGGGAGAGAAAGAATGAGTGAGGGAGAGAGAGAGAGAGGCAGTGTACATCATGTAGATTTGATTTCTACGTCTACATAAAGAGCTCTCTTACCCCACAGATATGTCAAATATTATGAAATATCTATCTATCTATCTATCTATCTATCTATCTATCTATCTATCTATTTATCTATCACTCATTTATTTTCCTATCTATCTATCTATCTCATTCTGTTCATATCTATCTATCTATCTATCTATCTATCTATCACAGTCTGTTCATATCTATCACTCTCAGCCTGTTCCTATCTATATATCTATCTATTTAAACGGAACGCTGATCTTATAAAAGATTTCAGTTATCTGTTTGGATTGGTCTTGCTCTTATGTCCATAGTCTTTTTCATGCTGAATTGAATATGGTCAATGTTAATCATGTTTTATGAATATGTCCTGAAGATGGTCTATTAGACCGAAACGTCCGACGTTGACATTATATTAACATTAAAACGGCATAATTGCATATTAGGATTTTTGTTTGTTTTTTCCGTATATTTTTCTTCATATCTATCTATCTATGTTTACACACACAAGCACACACACAGAGACACATATATATATATGTATATGTGAAATATATATATATATATATATATATATATATATATATATATATATATATATACAATTTATTATATACATCATTTATTTATTATATATACGCGCTACTTATTGGAAAGCGCTCAATATCAGCGATAGAGCTAACATATTTACTTGGACTAATCAGTCCAACTAAATATTTATATATATATATATATATATATATATATATATATATATATATGTGTGTGTGTGTGTGTGTGTGTGTGTGTGTGTGTGTGTGCAAATATATATATGTATATATATCGAATTGAATTAAGCTCTCCGGGCCACTGACTTATTTGGCATAGAAAACGTTAAAATTTCCTTTCCAGTCTGCCGTGCGACTATAGCCTAGGGGTAGAATCTCTCAATGATACCAAATCGGTAGGTTTTGGTCCTGCAATCGAACATCTAGCCACACTGAAGTGCTTTGATACAGCGAACATTTCCAGCCCACATCACAAGACTACCGCCTCCTTGTTGCTTTCTTTTAGCCACAGGCACGTCTGAATTGGATAAAATCCATCTTTTCGCCCATCCATCAGGTCAATCGAATGTCACCCGAGATTCGTCCGTGAAAATTACTTTAGAAAAATCAATTTTCATGTATTTCTTTGCCCGATTTTGACACTTTAAAATATTTGCTATACTGTAAGGAGGTTGCCTAGGAGATTTAAAAAAAATTTTTAATTTAATCCCAGTTCTCAAAGTATTCTACACTTTTTATCCTTCTTGATTCTCTCAATTCCAACCTTTTCAAAGATCCCAGCGCTGTTCAAAAGTGATTGTTTCGCTATAAATCGCTTTAGATTACGTGCATCTCGTAGAAGCAAGTTCTTAAACCCTTTTCATTTGATTTGAGTTTTCGACTTACTTAAGGTCTTAGCTAATGATAGTTTAATCTGCATCTAAAATTCAGTCAGTCTCTTTTCATAAATTCCCAAATATACCAAAAACTAAACATTAAAAATGTCAGAAAATTTAATTAAATATTTTGCTAAGGGTGGAAATTGACGAGTTTAAATTTGACAAATATTCGTTCAAAACTTTTTGAGTTCTTGAGGTTTATTTGCTATGCATAATAATTTCAGACAGGCTGTATTTATTTACATCCCACGGCCTGAATAAAATCTTGTTAGAAAAATATGCGCCCTCCGGCACTACTCGAACCAGCGGCTAATGGCAAACTGTCATTTATATATATATATATATATATATATATATATATATATATATATATATATATATATATATATATACCCAAGTATATAATTGGTGTATACGGAATGAATTCCAATAACCAACAATTACTATTCTTAAAGTACTCTCAATACAAAGTAGAGCAGATATAATTATTTTTTATATAAAAAAATTATAACATAAATATATTATAAAATCACTACAAAAATAGCCATTTTCATTTCAGCACCCTCGGTGTCTTATCAAATGATGATGTTAAAGATAAAATAAATGGTTTTAAAAGTTTCAAATTAATTAACGATCCTTCGCTAGAGAAAACATCGTTACCTAAGCTAGAATGACCAATCAAAACCCAAGTATAGGAAGATTCAAAAGCAACAACGAAATCATGTTATAATAGCTATTCAGAGCTTTAAAATCAGGTAATATTAAAAAGAATTTATTCTAACCAATAATTATTAAATTATATGATAAAATTTGATATTAAAATTAAAAACTGCCAATTTTAAAATCCAAATTTAATCACTATTAAGTTTAAAACTATAAAATTACTGAGGAGAAAAGAAAAAATACATATGTTATTCAATTTATTTCTTCTTATATATATATATATATGTGTGTGTGTGTGTGTGTGTGTGTGTGTTTGTGTGTGTGTACCACAATGTTTGCAACATCTGCCAACAGGAAAAATTATCGATTATGACATTTCCGGAGCCAAAAACAAACTTTGAAACCAGAAATCGTAAGTCGTCGTCGTCGGCGGCGGCTTCTTGGGCGTAGATTAATATTTGGGTAATTTTCTATGGCGACACTCTCTTGTTTTTTCGCCATTTCACCTTTCTTAACAAGATTACCGCTCTCACAAACAAATGTACACAACAGATTCATAAAAATCAAATGAAAATTGTTGAATACATCAACACAGATACACTGACAATATTCTCCACACGTGACAAATACTGACGTTATTTTCAGTTAACAAAAGAAGATTGGGCATGCATTGCGACCCGTTCAGCTCGGGGTAGGCATACAGGGAGGATGTGAAGCCGCGGTTCATGCCACAAGATTATTTTTCGAGAATACATCACCTGCGTCCCCACGTATCTTATTAAAATTGGATATGAAAAACGCTTTCAATAGCATCAGAAGGGATCATATCCTGGAAGTTTGCCATCAACAGACTCCTTCCATATTTAATCTGGCTCATCTTTCGTATAGTCATCCAAGTATGTTGATCGCCTCCGATAATATTATCTCTTCTGCTACTGGAATCCAACAAGGTGATCCACTTGTTCCGCTATTTGCGATGGCTGTTGACGGGGTAGCTCGTTCCATCGCTTCACCTTTCAATATATGGTATCTTGACGATGCAACGTTGGGAGGATCCATCGAGGCCGTAGCTGCTGACCTCCGACGAGTTATTCCTGTTTTATCTCTGCTTGGACTTGAGATTAACTCGTCCAAGTCAGAGATAATAAACTTGAATTATACTGCAGATCATTTCGAGGGAGTGCTATCCGGGATATAAGACTCATCCTTGAGGATATTAAAATAACACCCTGGAGGAATTACATTTCTTGGTTCTCCAGTCTTTCCAATGGCCATTCAGTGTTTGGATACTAAGCATGTCATTCTAACAAGAATGACAGAGAAACTCACAACTAATTGATGCACACCCCTTCCCCTCTTCCTCTTGAAGAACAGTTTTCGCTACCAGTGTCCTCTCACTCTCGTCAGTGCCTAATCTACCTCCCTCACAGGATTTCTTAAATGAGATAGATATCACAATTAAGAGATGCGCCGAGCTAATTGCAACGTCAATTTCGACGACACAGGATGGAGGCAAGCAAAGCTCTCTTTGATTTCAGCAGGCTGGGCCTTCGATCAGCGGTAGGTTTGGCCCTTCCAGCATATCTTTTTCACTTTCGTCCCGTCACGAATTAATTGATGGATACTCGGTGGATCGTCTCAATGTTTCTGGTAGTTCTTTCGAACAAGCTTGCAGCGTCTGGGCCCAAGAATTTTTTCTCTCCACTTCAAAACAAAAAGCTAGGATAAAATAAAATGCGAGGCCAATTTTACTAATTTGAGGCTCTCTGGGCCAGCATCGCCTCGCCTGTCTACCAAATAGTGGCGCCTGGCTCAACGCAGTGCCCTCTTCATCTATCTATCTTCTAGATGATGAGTGCACTCGGGTCGGAGTCAGGATCCGTCTTGGACTCAAATTATGTGAGCGTCACAGATGCAGATGTGAGCTTCCATCAATGAGTTTGGTTTGCATCCTCTCTCCTGTCGTCGTAGTGCCGGCCGCTTTCCACGGCATCATCAGATGCATGCAGCTGGGTTACCTTACCAAATCGAACCCGTAAGCCTCGACCGCAGTGATGGAAAGTGGCCGGATGGCATTACCACTTTCCCTTTTAAAATGGGGAAGTCGTTGATTTGGGATGCGACCTGTGCGGATACATTTTCGGCCGGTAATTTGATCAGGTCCGCGGTTGAGCCAGGATCCGTCGCCCGGGATGCAGAGATGAAAAAAATAGTTAAATATCCTTCTCTTGCTGATAGATTGTTTTTTTACTCCTGTGGCAGTGGAGACTTCAGGGGTTATTTGCCCTCGTTCGATGGCGTTCCTTCGGAGGGATTGGCGCGATTGCGTCTCGATTAAGGGACGAGCCTCATGAAACGGAGTGGCTCTTGCAGCGTGTCTCACAGGACATTGTTCGAGGTAATTCTTTCTCCATCATTGCGGCTGGCAGATGATAGAAAAAAATTGTTTATAGTTACGTTGTTCTGGAATTGTCATCAGTGGTCTTGCTTTGTTAACGATATGAAAATAGCGTTTCTCTACATTCCAGTTACTAGGATCATTCTGTTTTTGTTTTTATTAGTTATCTTGTTAAATTATATTCATTTCGTATTTTGCTTTGATAAAGTCCACATTGGACGAAACACGTCAGCAATTACTAGTTTTCCTATTGTCATTTTTATTCATAAATATTGTCTTTTCCACTGGTTAAATCGGAGAAATTTTCATGGTTAAGGTTTCTGTAGAACTAATCACACTTTTCAAGAGAACTAATAACTGCGTTAGGGTTAGAGTTCACCTAGCCCTGACACTAACCCTAGCCGTGGTGCGCCTAACAATTTACTGCCTACAATACCTAGCCCTCAAAATGACGCCATATCCTTCTTGTGGTTGTTTTAGTCGTGTTAAATGACTATTTCTCAACCATTACGAGACAGTATTTACTACCTGAAAATGTAGCAGTTGTCATCTCAGAACAACATTTTATTATTATTTTTTTGACAAATAATTTCTTATTCGAAAATTATAACATTATAATATTTTCGAATAAATTATATTTACTCTACTCTGTACTAAGCACTCTTATAATAATAGTATTTTGGTTATTAAAATTTATTACCTATACACCAATTCTATATATATATATATATATATATATATATATATATATATATATATATAACAAACCTTGTATATATACATACATACATACACACACACACATACATATATATTAATGCCCTTATATATATATATATATATATATGTCAATATATTTACTTACATGCACAAATATATATATATATGTATATATATATATATATATATATATATATATATATAATTTTATTCGAAAATTATAACATTAAATATTTTCGAATAAATTATCTTACTCTACTCTGTATTGAGCACTCTTTTAATAATAGTATTTTTGGTTATTGAATTTAGTACCTATACACCAATCCTATATATCTATCTATCTATCTATCTATCTATATATATATATATATATATATATATAAGCATGAACTTATGTATATACATATATTCATGCACACACTCACATATATATATATATTAATGCACTTATATATATATATATATATATATATATATAATGCTCTCACTTACACGCTGAAAATATATATATATATATATATATATATATATATATATATATGTCAGTGTACGTTATGATTGAATGTGTACGTTAATATGCTCAGGGTATGGGCATGTGCTATTTCGTTGCGAACGCTATGAAACGAGAAGTGCTTTTGGGGTCCAGCTAGGTAATACACAGGGGATTGCTTTGTCCGCTGGCAGCACGATTTCAGACCCTCAAGAATTAGCTCTGACCCGGAAAATTATTTGGAAACAATGAGCCTCTATGTCGTTATGTAAAAGTTTAGAGCGTGTCAGACTGTTCTTTGAAAGTCAGGTCTGTTTCGACACGATAAACAAAATGCCATTGTCCGAAATGCCAAAACTCTTCAACTCAATCCTTTCTTTTTATTTAGAGACACCCACCCTATATATATATATATATATATATA